AAAACCCAATAAGATGAACTCACTATTCAACATAAATTTATTCACAGCGACACAATGTCCAGTTCGTAAATTTCTAGAATGTTCCATAAATTAATGCCTTCTCTGCTAAATATTCTTTGTTGTAAACACCAGTCGCACTTGGGGATGCATTCGTGGACATTAAATTGGAACCCGCCATTCTTCATGAGCACTATCATCACCACCACCACCACCACCACTTCTTCCGCTGCTGCGGTTGTTGCTGTTGCTTTTGCGTTTATCCTTTATTGAGTAATTCCACCGATTAGTACCCTTTTAGGTTCCTTAACAGACCACTTCAAGTTATTCAATTAAAAATTTACTCTCATGGGTTCTGAACTAAACACCAACAAATCTGAGTAAATTGAAACAAATCCTGTTCAAATATACAGTTTAACCATGAAGAGCTGAATGAGATCACATTATCACGCGTGTCGTCATTAATTATAAGCACAATACAACTATCGCAAAATTGGGTGAAGCTGAAATAATAGTGTAGTGTACAAAAGTTTTGTATTTTGTATCTGCAGGTACAAAATGAAGTTCCAGTTTATGAATTCCCAGTCATTACTTTTAGAAAGATTGGCAAACTGAACTTCCAATGTACTCCTACCGAGCAATAAACTGTCTGTCGTGATCTCAAATACTCGGGTATAGAGACACACTGATTTTATAAAAGTGACATATGAGGTTGCTAGAAATTCCTCAGAACAAATCCTCTTAGTATTTGATGAAAAAGCGTGATCTCCATTGATTGAAGTTTGCGAAACAAAAACATTATTTTATTAGGTTCAGTTATTTTTAAGAAACTCCAAATGACTTCTAATTAGAGTTTATTGATAATTTTAATTTTTAAGATGATGTGAGTGATTGAGTTGAACCAAACAGTCACTTAGTTAAACCGTCGGTTTGTGGATCTACTAAAAGAGAATGGTACTGGGTATTTGTCAAGCAGTGATGACCAGGTTGTCTCTAGAATCTTTGGATGACAGTTCGCCATTGGATTGATGAACCAGATAGCAGGCTAATTGGGTGGTGAGTTTTAAGAATACAATGATATACGATTGGATAGTCAACCCTTAAATCAAAGTATGACAGTCGCTGGAAAGCACTGAAGTTAGAACTGATCAACTGACAGTTTGACTGACTAGATGAATGATCGATTGACTGACTGGAGTATTGAATGATTGGTTGATTGATGGATAATCTAGTGTTCCTACTGGAGTGATTTGTGACATGAGTTGATGGGTTTTTAGATCGTTTAGAATGAGGGTTGAAAATGGGATGTCTATAGAGGAATGGCTAATAAACATTCTACTTGTAAATAAACACTCATGTTTCTAGGATTGTCGCCGGACGGACATTCGGATTAGTGAAGCGAAATTCACCATGAAACACAACTAGGACTCTGAAACATTGCATCACCTATTTGAAGGAGTGATTTAGAATGAACCTAATGCGTATAATACTATAAGGAAGGGTCCTAATGTACCATCACTGTTAGATAAGAAAACCATAATAATTGTAATACTTACCGATCGGTGAGTTTACTTTTTATAGCTTTTTTATGTTCCACCCTTGAATTCCAGTAAACTGTAGTTGTGCGGTGAACAGAATAGTAGAGGTGAACTCAACAGTCCGAGGGACGTACTGTTCACTCATAGGAACCGGTAATCTGAGCCGTGGAACTTGGAATAGTAAACGATGCAGAGTTCCACCAACTTAGGGGTGGTATCGAGCCGGACAGCAATGAAGATAACTATCGCTGAAGCTTCCGAGGCTATGTCAAGGTTCGAACCTCAGACTCTAGGGCCCAACGATGCCAGAGACAACCGCTTGACCAGCATCACCATCAATGTGAAACAATAAATCAAAATGCCTTGGCACAGTAGAACATTAGGCGAATATTCGTTATCTTAAACATAACTTCTTCGACATACTTATCGCAGAGTGCTTTATAGTCTACACCTCTGCCTATAGTTCTAAATCTGTATGTTAATGTTAAACTTTCATTGTGCTGCAGATTTCCTAAAGGTTTTGTTGTGATCCATTTGTGAACAGTTCAGGAGCCTCGATGGGATTCACATTCACGCATGGTCACCTCATACGAGTGAAGCTATGAGACCGCACTCAAAAATGTGATAATTTTACACATGGGTTCGAATTCCACCGAGGCTCTGGATAAGCTCAAAACTGAACTTTATAAAAAGCGTTCTGCGATCGATCGAACAAATCAATCTAAACAACGGACTTTACCCCAGGGTTCATCCGATGAACTGTGGTGATTTTTAGGCAAACATACCATGGTGGTCAGCTACTGGGCCCACTGTTGTNGTTGTGTTCATATGCTTCTTTGTGTTAGGTGCGCAACCAAATGTGAATTGATCAAAGCGGTATGTGTGACGTCGAGGCAAAGCCTGCATTGTCGAGATGCAAAAATAGCAGTTGGGACTCCTAATGAGACTCTTGATATTTACATAAGTGGATTAAATGAAAAATCAAAGATACTGCTATGGAGTCCGATCGACGGTGTTTTTTGGAATTATTCTGCATCCAGTACACTCAATTAATGGTCACAAAAAGAGTGTATGAAATGATATCGGGATTTTTCTATTCGAACACAGGTGCTCAAAAAGTTGAAAAAATCGATAATATCATCTACTTACCCTAACTGTTAGAACCCATGTGAATGATAGATTTCCTTTCATTGAATTTTCTACTTACCATTCATCAGAAAGGATCGATGGTGCGAATGAAATGTGTCTCGTTTTATTGTTTCTTGTTTCTACACACAATCAATCACCCCTATTCATGGTAATCGCACGTCGTTTTTCGACAGATCCCGATGCATTAGGCGGCAGAACAGGACAGCTGCGCATACCGGAGCAAGGTTCACTGTTTGTGACCTAATTTGACACGTGTGTCACATCTACGTGTGCATCTGCTAGCCAATTCGCACATACACACACACGTCCAGAGCAATAAAATATATAAAGATTTTTTCACTAAGGTTATGACAGCTCATATTTATTGTTCAGTGTCTCTTATTTATCCAGTCAGTGATCGACTATTGCGGTTGTCAAGACTTTCAGTCAACAGAGAGTAGCTTGTAAGAGATGCTGATAAAAGTCTTTTCTGAGCAATTGAACAGTGCTGTTATGGCTTTTATATCCCGGTGGGACGGCGTATCCGACTGTCAAAACGGAAACATACCTGACAAACTGGCTGAATAAAAGCCGCCTTAAGTTGTATCATCTGACATTGTCTAGGATTCGATAGCAGTTGAAACTGTCTCGGTAGGTCACACACGACCTATTGGGAGAGACCGGCACATACATACATACATACATACATACATACATACATACATACATACATACATACATACATACAGATACATACATACATACATACATACATACATACATACATACATACATACATACATACATACACATACATACATACATACATACATACATACATACATACATACATACATACATACATACACACATACCTTTAAACGTGCGTAGATGATTTTTCCAATTCACTACAATCTAAAGGTTTCTGCTTCTCATTACAGATTGAACATGTCGAAAAACTCTAATGTTACGGGAAAACGATCTAACATTTGGAATAAATAATAGCTTCACCTTTCCTGTCCCAAGGATTTCAACAGATACCGGGAAAATAACTGATTTCACTTTGAAACAGAAATATTTCGGCACTAACTGCCCATCGATTACTCATCCACTTTATAGATGTCGGCACCGGCGACGCGATTTCCGCATTGTCAAACCGAATTCACGTGAATGACATATGTGGATTGTTGGATTGTTGTAATTGGCACGAATCAATATGCCAATTACCATGTGATGTCGCAAACAGCATGTGGCACACTGTCTCTTGCGCCTTTTCCAACCAACTTTCCTGGCCCCTCTCTGTTCCTCCGTTCATTTTCGCACTCATACGTTGCTCTCTCTGGCGTCTCTTTCCACACACAAGACAGATGCTGGAGGATAGTGAAAATGCCTGAAACGGGACGGACGGTCGAGGGAGTCACAGAGAAGTAGCTAGGATTGAACCGATGAATGAACATGTCAACCGGTTGTTGTCATTGACCGAAAGCTAGGTGTGTTAGTGTGTGTGTATGTGGAACTAATGGACCCAGTCTAATAACTTCCCGTATCTTTTGTCACAAGTTTATGGTATCAAATAGTACCTGTAGCCCGGGAAACAGATGTGATATAAGAGGTCGAAGCAATGGGTGCTACTACGGTGATTTGATAATACTGAAAGGCAAGCGCACTTAGTGGTTATTTATTATCCGCTCACGGAGAACGGATTTTGAAACCAATGCACTCCAACTTTCAGAAATGAAATGAATTGTGCAGGATACTCAACGTTTCACGTTCGCTGTTGAATTTAGATTACGCTTCGGCAGTTTAAAATCCGTATGCACGAGTTAGCTAAATTATTTTCACCTATCTGACATCACTGCTCAATTTGGTTGTGTAGATTCATAACACAAGGATTTTGCAAAAGGGATAGTAGCTTCTCTTACATTGTCTTTTTCTTTCTTTCTTACGGATCTGCTTAACCCAAACAGTTCAAGAAAGAACTGCACGTAGTCTATTTGGGTGTGTATCTATCTATCTGTATTGGGGTTAGGACGTATTCGCTTAGTTGTTCCACAATATCACCAGGTTGTATTGCCAAATAGATNATCATCTGTACAGACGTTGCCGATACAATATCTGGGTTTCAACACACACACACACACACACACACACACACCAGTAATACCTCACGGAGTACACACTAGAATAATTTGTGTGGAGAAATATATATATATATATATTTGAAGCACCGAAATAGTTGCATGTGATCAAATTGTACTTATGTTACACTCGTTTCACGAAACAGTTATACCAAACTAACCTAATCACTTTGTTTTACCTCCCCCTTCCCGTCCCCAGTGTGATCCCGTCTGTCCAAGTCCACTGGCTATGCTTGCGAAAACATGCCAGAACATTGGGCAGATGATGGAGGCCAGCGTGCACACAAACCATTCCACACAAGCATCGAGCAATCTACGCCATGTGACATCCAGCGTTTCAACGGCAATCGGTACATCATCCGGAATCACACTACCTACCGCTGTGACAACCACTGCGACCGGAATGATTAGTGGAACCACGCAACGTCTCAGCCCCGTCAGTCAATCGATTCGAACCACCAAGCAATCTAAAGGCTCAAGTCCATCAGCAGAAAATAAGAATCTGCTTGGTGCAAAACGTTCAACTATGTCTCGGTTCAAATGGATGCGACCGGATTCGAACACATCGTCCATTACATCGCATCGCTCTGACACAGTGACCTCGTCAACATCACATGGAGATTTCCTTTCAAATAACGGGGCAGATGGATTAAAAAATGGGCAGAAATTGTCTTGCTCCATTCCCAACACTTATTCCCCAAACTCGTTCCCTGTGAATGGCTGCCTTACCGGTAACACATCAGTCCCCATTGGTTCAAATCCATTTCATGAGGTAACGGCAGCCAGCACCCAACAACCCACATCTAACGCTCTCGCACAGTTGGCTCGTCTGTCTTCAAGCCTCTCGCTACCTGATCCCCCCAGATCTGTGAATGGTGTGGTAGATGGACTGTCAAAGGATCGTCTGAACTGGACTGATCCACTGAGAGTTCAAACTGGAACCAAACGCGTTCGCCGAAACAGCGGGGCGGGCCTGAAAGGATTCCCGTTGGTGAACAACTCCTTCGGAGGGGGATCGAAGAAATCTGCACGTGATTCTTACGCGCATTCCCATCCACCTGGAGATAATAGTTTTAATGTAATTGGGTTATCAAACGTCCAGTTTAAACTAAGAGGCTCAAATTCAACATCCCTCAACTCGTCAGTTAGACACAGTCCTCAGCTGGATCAGTCTTCATCTCCTAATCATTCACAGACAAATGCTAATCCCTGGTACGCTCTCGCTGAATTCTTGCATCAAATGATGGAACAGAAAACGGAGCAAACGACTCGAGTGTCTGCACAAGAATCGTTCTCCTATAATCTGGCTCGCAGCTTTCTTGACTTTTTCTACAGCCGAATGATGATGCTGGCCAATGGTACAACTGGAGAAGCTTCAAATGACGGCCATCAGGCTCACTCAAACCTCACCGTGAAAGATTCGGGTTCCACGGTGTCTCCGTCTTACTTCCCCAGAGAGATGATGTTACCTAATCACAGTCCTGCGACGAACCGTAATCCAGTCCCCGGTATGCCCTTGGGCTCTCCATCTTCAGCTGCATTTACCGAAACTGTGCCTACTGCCACACAAGCAGTCCCAACAGAACGGTGTATATTTTGTGGACAACCATGTGCCTCACAAGCTGAATGGTGTTTGCACATGTACACGCACTTTTCCCAAATGGAAAAAGATCAGAATCCACACCATCCTGTTCACCAACCTTCTACTTTACCACCCAAATCTCAACAACAAACCATACCCCTGTCACATGACTCAACCGATCGATCGCAAGATTGTGCTCCTTCCAAATTTACTTCACCTCCATTTCCCTTCTGTCCACCCTCGTCTATTTCCGCTTCATCGTTCGGTACTCCCGTCAATTCATCTGATTCTTTGTCTCGTCCAAATTCTAATGGAGATCACATGTCTATGGTCAATTCATATCTGGCCAACTGGATGGAGAAGTATGGTGAAGTGAACGGTACCAAAGTAAACCAAAGTTTTCCGCCTGGTTTCAACGAAGCCCTGAACAATCCCTTGTCTCATTTTGGTAAGCCACCCAATCCAGACTGCAGTTCGAGTCGAACAGATTTTCCCGTTCCCAAATTTGCCGACCCCAGTATGTATATGTACTGGATGTATTTGTATGCAGCCTATTGCGGTGGAAATGCAAATTCTCGAGCGAGCTACTTCCCATCCCAACATCCTCCGAATCAATTACCTCAGTGCCCACCCGCGAGTACACTGGGTTGGCCACATTCTATCATGTCAGCATTTGGTATGGCTGCTCCCGGTTTGGGCNTGCTCCCGGTTTGGGCATTTTCCCTAAAGTATGATTGCGTATGGTTTTCCGGTTCCACAGCAATTTACTACATATGTCGCAATAATCGCCAAGCTTCGGCAATAGGATGTTATTCAACTCTCATCCGGCTGTTCCGGTCAATCAATGTCTCGAAAGCGCCAAGTCCGACCGTATTTGAGACAAGTTTCAACACGAGGGATGGCTATCTGCACGATATTCACAACCGGGAGATCGAGTGCTTTGGGAACGGGTGGACCGGCGCAGACTGTGATTTGTACTCAGGAATCCCCTACTTCTTCTAACTATCCAATCTATCCAACGATAGACCAACATTCCCCCGTCCACATACTTTTCACACAATCCTTCTTCATCCTCGGAAACACCCAAACACACATGCACACACCATCACACACACGAGCATTGGAAAGAATCAATCGCTCTTTCAAACTTTGGCNAATCAACACGGTTTGCGGAACTAAATACTCTACCACCTTGTTGCCATAATTTCATCGTGCTAAGGTTTCCTGGTCCGAGTGAACAGTTATACAACACGCTCTCCCTTCGCAAACAACTGTGACGCAATCGGGCTGCAAATGTTTGCAGCTTTGTGTGTGTGCGCATGTGCACCCATGCACCCGTGAGTTTATTTCCATGTATCATAGCGCTTTGGTTTTTGTTTTCCCTCTTTTCCCTTTCATCAACTGGTCCCCTATACAATCCCAGGGGATTGTCACAATCCAATTCACGATTTGGGCTTTCATTACAAATAAACAAAACTGGTCAGTTTTTTGCAATTTGTGTTCACCTTTTGTTTGGGCCATTAGAAGCTGGTCAGACTGGTATTGGAGAGCTATACTTGAAGATTTGTATACTGCACATTGGATGAGTAAATTTAAGTAATAAACGGAGTATGCGTCATGCTCTTTAGGAAGTAAACCTGCAATATTTTCCGGCGGGTGGGGAGGGGTGAGTGGGCGCAGTCATTGGATGTGATATCACCTCTGTTTGACTGAACGGAGCCTAATGACGATTTAACCGTGTGGATGGAAAGACAAGCTCTGATAAGATTTAAACCGGGGTTGTTGTGTTGTAGTCGGGACTTGACAAGCCGCTAGTGTTTTTTGCTGGTGGGCTGACTGTGCCCTTGCATTCGGACATCTCGTTGTTTGACTTTCCAAGCGGATAAAAGAACGAGAAACTTGCTGTTCGCCTGCGGTAACATTTTCGCCAACCGATTGTAATAAAGAGAGCTACATGCATCTCGTTCTTTGTGTTCTCATTTAGTCTGTCAAGGGCTATTCTAAATTTAACCGGATGCGAAATGCGTGTTACACATCTCCTTTTACTAAATTTTGAACTGTTCGCAACAGAATTGTAGAGGATTCCCAAATACCAAATCTGATTTGGTACTTCGCAACTGGTCGACGAATGTTCCCTTGGGCAGAGAGAGCGAGATATACAGTTCGACCACAGTGTAGTGGCCGGTTGGCATAACGTCGAAATTCCATCATGGATTGAAATGGAATATAAGAAATGAATGCATCAAACGGGAGCAGAAGTGAGCAAACTTCAGAGCATTTGTGTGTTGTAATGAGACACTTGTAAATAATCACTTTTAATATAAAACGGTAAACGGTAGTTGGTGTTGGTGAGTTCTCCGAGCTGGACGTATTGTTCTTAGACGTTTCGTAGCCAAGCTAGGAAACATCATCAGTGCGACTTTGAGGAAACACCAGTCCTCAGTGGGATAGAATTATAGAACTATAGAACTAGAACTGTATTAGCCCTATCCCATTGAGGACTGGCGCTTCCCCGAAGTCGCACTGATTATGTTGCCTAGCTTGACTACGAAACGTCTGCGAACAACACGTCCAGCTGGAAGAAGTCACCAACATCAACATCTGAATCCGAGCTACAATCATTCCACGTCATTTCTAACGGTAAACGGTAATTTCACCCGCAGGGAAAATGATGGAGACCGGATTCATTAGCTTCTAGCCGATAAAGATTGTATTTAATTAGATGTTTAGAAAAATAACTAGCGATTCACGAGGGGTTTGAAATGGGCGTAAATGAGACTGAAGTGCCGAAGGAATTGAAAAGCACTTTCAAGGTTATTAGTAAAGTATGATTGATTTCAATATGGGTGAACTAAAATAAGCTTGTCAAATGTGAGCAGCATATTGTATCATCAATTATCACGGGGCTCGTTCTAGCATTTGAGTTTTGATTTTGCAGAAAATACACGTATTGTTTT